GTTCTAGATTGTATTAAAAAAAAATATATTTATTTTTTCTTTTTCTTTCTTTTTTCCTTTTTTATAAAAAAAAATACTATATATAATTGTTTCTTTCTTCTGTTTTTTGATGGATTTTGATAAAAAACAAAATATATTGTCCAAAAAAAATCTCTGCAGTACGACAAGGAGCTCACAGATTCTATTTCATTGGTATTGTTAATGGTTAACTATAAAAAAATGTTAATTTTTTTTATTTTTTCTTTTTTAACCAAAACCCTTTTCTTGTTTTCTATTGTTTTTCTAATATTTTTTTTTCTACCAAAATTAATCTGTTTGCTTAAATATACTACTTTTGGTTTTTTTAAGCACTTTTTACACTTTTGTGGGGATTTTGTGAAATACAATTACTAAATCTCTTTCCTAAACTACCGTTGCAATACCAGCCGAAAAAGATCAAAAAATACTACACTTCTTTATGTTTTTTTTAACAAGCACTTGAACAATTTTTAAAAATATTTTGTTGTTTAAATTCCCAAATATTACACCTTTGCTAAGCCTAACCTCACTTTCATAAAATAATAATAATAATTGTTCTTAAATGTGTTTTATTAAAAACCTGCAATTAGTGTTAATAATTTACCAAATTTACACTACATAGCTGGCTAAGTGTTTTTCTAAAGAAATTTTTGAAAACAATTATAACTTTCAAAACAATAATGAATTAAACAGTAGTTAAATATAAAAGCTTACAATTAGTCGCTAGAATTTCTACAGAAGAGGAGTACAATACATATTTAAACGATTTTTACCCGCTAATAATTCATAATTTTAATACCATTGCACTAGGGTTCTATAGTTGAAACGAAAAGTCGACTTTTAGACTTTTTGCATTTAGTTAAAGTCGATTTTTCGACTTTTCGACCTTTTTCATTTATTTAAAAGTCGACTTTTAGACTTTTAGTATTTTATAAATGGTCGACTCTTCGACTTTTTCCGACTTTTCGACTTTTTTTCGACTTTTCGACTTTTTCCGACTTTTTCGACTTTTCGACTTTTGCGACTTTTTTCGACTTTTCGACTTTTTTCGACTTTTCGACTTTTTCGACTTTTCGACTTTTTCCGACTTTTCGACTTTACGATTTTTTACGACTTTTTGACTATTTCGACTTATTTCGACTTTTTTCGACTTATTTCGACTTTTTTCGACTATATTTTTACTTTTTTCGAGTTTTTCCGACTATTTTAGAGTTTTTGACCTCTTTTCCACTTTTTTAAAATTTTCGACTATTTCGACTTTTCGACTTTTTTCGACTTTTTCCGACTTTTCGACTTTTTCCGACTTTTCGACTTATCGACTTTTTTCGACTTTTCGACTTTTTTCGACTTTCCGTCTTTTCGACTTTTTTCGACTTTTATTTACAAAGTCGACTTTTCGACTTTTTTCATAGACGATAGTCGAGTTATCGACTTTTTTGGAACAAAATAGTCGACTTCGACTTTTCGACTTTTTTCGACAAAAAGTCGATTGTTCGATTATTCGAAAGTCGATTTATAGAACCCTACATTGCACTATTTCTGCATAATAAAAGTACAACACTGTTACATGTCAAATAGTTAAAAGAGTTGCCACACCAGCTAAAATGTGCAAAATGGTGTTGTAGTGTTTTATAAATAAACGTTCTTTAGAAAAGTTAATTTTAAGTTTCAAATTAATATAAAACAAATTTGAAACAATAAAATTTTTGTTGAAAAAAAAACTTTTTTGACTGTATTGCAAATAATCAACTGCCAGTAAAGAAACTATATCTGCTTCGTTTTTTTTTTTTTTTTGTAAAAAAAACTTAAAAAGTTGCTTAATTTTCAACAATTATATGTTAATTAATCAATTTCTGATAGTAATTCTCACTATTCGATTATCATAAGTTTTCATAAGATAATTTTAGATCGTATGGAATGAATTGTTGATACATCAAAGAAAGTATAGTTATTATTAATCCGAAGGAACCACAATAAAGAATAAATATAGAAGTTTTCTATAAGTTTTTGGTCTATAGTCATAATCGAGTGTTTTATAGTATACGCACAATTGGGACGAACGACGAATTTTTCGGAACGAATATTCGTCGTCAGAAATAGAACACACTTGGGTATATGAAAATGTACACAATCATTGCGTATGACGAAATTCGTCGTACGTAACGAACTATGCGATAGGTTAATTTCTATTTCTTACGCAGACGAACGACGAATTAATTGGGGAAAATTGTTTTAAGACCAATTCCGGTAGCCCGAATTTGCTGAAATTTGGCGGTTGTGAGTACAACTAATGACAATACAATATTATAATCGAACATTCGAAATTATATTCGAAAATTCGAAGTTATGTTCGAAAAATGTTTTATGCTCTTAAAATAATCTCTGGGTCATAAAAACTAAAAATGAAATTTTCGAAAATTCGAACTTAAGTTCGAAAGATTTTTAAAGCCATTAAAGCCAGTTCTCGTGGCCCGAATTGTCTGAAATTTGGCAGTCTGGAGTACACTTGATGACACTACAATGCTATGTTGGAATATTTAAAATTAAGTTCGAAAATTCGAAGTAATGTTCGAAAAAATTTTGAAGCTGTTAAAATAATCTAAAAATTGAGGATATTCACAAAAATATAATTTTAGTTCTTTTCGAGGGCCAATTTCTTACATTTTCTAATTTCGAAATAATGTTCGAATAAATTTTAAAGCTGTTAAAATTATCTCAAAATCGTGGAAATTTACAAAAATATAATTTTTGTTCCAATTTCGAACAAACAAATATTGAAACGAATTCGCAGTACGAATAATTTGATTGTGTTCCATTCAACGAATTTACGCAACGAATTCTTTTCGATTAGTTCGTCGTGCTATACGAAATTCGTCGTTCGTCCCAATTGTGCGTATACCATTAGTTTATATTCTTTGATGACAAGGAAGAAGTTTTCCAAGATCCCAATTTAACTAAAAGATCAGTTTTCTGCTAGTCATTGGCGGAACGTAACTTTATTCGAACTCCGTAAACAAACTTAAATGATTGTTTAATACTAATAATGACTTTTGGAACCATTTCTATACAAAATGTTTAAATGAATTTCATATTTTAATGATACTGAAGGTACCTACATCAAGTTTTTGACTATTATAAATTACCACTACAATTTGAACGCTCCGCTCCGGAACGAACCGATTCTCAATCGTCCAAAGATTGTCAACTCAGCAACAGCTGTATCAAGGGGAAGTTTTTGCCCCAGGGAAGAACATCTAGTCACAGCCAATTTGTTACAACAACAACAACTATTATAAATAGTTTTTCCTATAGTTTTGCCGGTAGAACTTTAGGGATCCTTGATAGTTAAATTTATAAATTTCTTACCTTAACTTTATAAATTGACCTAAAAAGTTTTAGTTTAGATTTGCTATTGGCTTCTGCTCTAGATGTTGTAAAAGATCTACAAATTAACCCTCGTAAAAGACTTGGTTCCTTGCTAATAGTTGCCTAGATCAGCTTATATTATTGATCATTATAGGAAGCAGTAAAATTCACTAAAATTATATTCTAAGAGACTTATTCATAACAATTTAACAAAGTTTTATAAGACAACTGTTCATTTAAAATTAGTTCTATAAACCTTTTATAAACTTTAATGAATAAGCTAGTAAAATTTTAATTTTCCCTAAAAGAAACAACTACAAATATTAATTTTCCAAAATACACTACATAATACACTTTTGTTAAAAAATTTTATTGACTTTTTACACAATTTTACCAACACATTTTACCCAAATGTTAATTTTAACCTTACTTTTAAACAATTACCCCCACAATCATAAGCAAATTTTTACTTTATAAAAGTTTTATAAAACAAATTTTATAAAATAAAAATTTGATTACGTTTAAGGACTTTATTGTTTCTTGTTTAAATTTAATTTAATTATTTTATAAAAATTTTACTAATTTTTAAATTTTTTCCCTTCCCCACTGTTTGTTTGTTCAATATTGATTGGTTGGCCAACAACAAAACCACCTTCAAAAACAACAACAAACATTTTTTTTTCTCTCTTTCTTTTGCAATTTCTTTAGGTGATCAACCTCGCCGCGCTCAAAAGAATGTTGACTCATATCAACGTTTATTCGGTGAACCCGAACGTCCAGTTACTCCTGCCAAAAATCACATGAAGAGCAACATTCCATTTGGTGCTAAGAATGAAGCAGCTCAAGCCTTGATCATGAACGGTAATGGCAATGGACATTATAACGGCAAAAGTGGTTCTGTATCATCGGCCTCGTCATCGGTGTCATCATCAACTGAGAACTTAAAAATGAATGGTTTTTCGAAAACAGGTGAGTTGTATTTTTGTTAAAAAAAAAAGTTTGGAAATCTGGCTAATTTGTTTATTTTGTAAAGCTTTGGTTAGAAATATAGTTTTTTCTTTAAATATTTCAAGACAAGCCTCTTTTTTTTCAGTGGTTCTTTTTTCAAATTGTTTATTTGTTTTGTTTTCTTATTTAAATTATTATTTTGCTTCTTTAGTCTATAATTATTTAAATTATTAACTGTAAAATTAATGGGTGGGTAAAAATTTATTACGCTGTTTATTTTTAGACAGGAATTATTAAAAGAATTTCTATACATTTTAAAAGAAAACATACTTTTAGAGCGGGTTTTTGAGATGTTAATCAAATGCCAATTAATAATCAGATTAGTTAATCTAAAAATAAATTTAATCTTATGTTAATCCCCTTTGATGTTTTTGAGCACATGATTCAATTTCGCAGTGTTGCCATACAAAACAACAGAAAACTTCACTGTTTGTTATCAAAACAATGCATATTTTATAAAAAGAAGAAGACAATTGTAAATTTAATATGAAAATTAATGAAAACTTAAATTAAAAACAAAAAAATGTATTTTGAAGTGTCCATAATTTATACTAATCAATAAATAGAACATTTTAATGTTTATATTTATAAAAATTTTATTAATTTTTTTGCATCAGCTGTTTACACTTTTGCATTTCGTGCTTAAGATTAAACCATCTCCATTGGGCGCTTAAATTTGCAAACAAAATTAACTAATTGAGTACTCAAAAACATCTTTCGAGGATTAATTTTAATTTAATCGCTAATCTTTCACCTAAAGATTGGCCCTTAAAAGTCAAGTTATGAATTCTTTCGAAATAGATCTCTAGGGATTTTGTTCAATATTTCAAAAGTATTGTATTATTTTCGTAATTTATTATAAAATTTAGGTTTCAATTTAAAACAGAAACAAGATCAGTTTTACTTCCCAGGCATCTAGTCCTTTAGTTTTCTTCATCATCCTTTAGTTCTGTTCATCATTTATTAAACTTGTTTTAAAATTTTACTTTTGTTTTTAATTTTTTTACCAAAATCACTTTACATTTTCATTTAGTTTCAAATCTTTTAAACAAAATATTTCAAAACAAATAACAAATATAAAAAAAAAAATAATTAAAAAAATAATAATTTCTTTTTCTGCTTATTTGTGCTTCATCTAACTCTCTAACACGCTTTATTATTATCTCTATATTTCGTTTACTACATATTAATTTCTTGCACGCTGCCATCTTTCTTTTGCCAATTTTGCAAAAAAAAAACAAAGTTTATCTACGCAAAATGAGTAGTAAGTAAAATTTATATTTCTTAAACTTTGCACCCAAAAAAACAAACTGAATTTTTTTAAACTAAAACAGATCCAACAAGTCCCCGTACTGACATCGACTCCCAGCACAATTTAGAAATGGAAGAAAATGTTAAGCAAATAAATAACAAGTGTCAGGAGTTGCGTAATGAATTAGATAATACAGATAAACTAAATAAACCTCAAGATTCCCCTCGTAGTGGTGATAGTGCTGGTGATATTAAGGCTTCCCAAACTATCAAAAATTCGTCATGTAATTCCGATAATCCCTATTCTTTAACTACTAACTCTACGTGTAACCCTCAAGAGTCGTTAGTTCAGTGTTTGGGTATTAATAAAATGTCTAGAGCTTCGGCTTCGGCATCTGCTGCTGCAGCTGCTCGTAATCCTATAACGGGCATGGGTTTAAATGGTGACGGTGTGGGCGGTTTAAAACCTTTGAAACCGAAATGTCGGAAAGGTGAAAAATTGTTACATTTTAAAAGAATTCAAAAATGTTTCTGTAGAAAAAGTGTTATACATAAATTTTTTATAGAAAAACACTGTAATACCCATAATTATAGAAAATATGTTATACTAAAGTTTTTCTATAGAAAGAAGTATTATACTTAAACTTTTATACACTCTATAGAAAAAACTATTATACATAATTGTGTCTGTAGAAAAACCCTTATACACATTTGTTTCTATAGAAAAAAAAACCGTTATACACACTTGTTTCTATAGAAAAAACTGTTATATACCCTTGTTTCTATAGAAAAACTGTTATACACACTTTTTTCTATATAGAAAACTATATAATACACTTTTTTCTATATAAAAACTGCAATACACACTTTTCTATATAAAAAACTGCAACACACTCTTTTTTCTATAGAAAAAAACTCTTATACACACTTGTTTCTATAGAAAAACTGTAATACACACTTTTTTCAATAGAAAAAACTGTAAAACATACTTTTTTTCTATAGAAAAAAACTGTAGTACACTTTTCTGTAGAAAAAAAGTTATACACACTTCTTTCTATAGAAAATACTGTTATTCACACTTTTTTCTATAGAAAATACTGTTATTCACACTTTTTTCTATAGAAAAAACTGTTATACACACTTTCTTCTATAGAAAAAACTGTTATACACACTTTTCTATGGGAAAAACTGTTATACACACTTTTTTCTATGGAAAAACTGTTATACACACTTTTTCTATGGAAAAACTGTTATACACACTTGTTTCTATGGAAAAAAACTGTTATACACACTTTTATCTATGGAAAAAACTGTTATACACACTTGTTTTTATAAAAAAACTGTTATACACACTTTTTCTATGGAAAAAACTGTTATACGCACTTGTTTCTATGGAAAAAACTGTTATACACACTTGTTTCTATGGAAAAAACTGTTATACACACTTGTTTCTATGGAAAAAAACTTTTATACCCACTTTTTTCTATGGAAAAAACTGTTATACACACTTTTTTCTATAGAAAAACTGTTATACACACTTTTTTGTGTAGAAAAAAACGTTATACACCCGTTTTCTATAGAAAAAACTCTTATATAACCTTGTTTCTATAAGAAAAAAATGTTATACATCTTTTTCCTATAGTGCATTTGCGAGCATAGTATAGTATCCTTTTTTAACGTAACACTAACAGGACTTAAGGTTTCATTTACTTGTACAGCAAAAGCAGATCCTTTAAAAACTAAAACCTTTAAAACTAAACAAAGACTTTCCTCCAATAAACAAAACTTTCCTAAAACAAATTCTATAAAACATTTATAAAACCCACCATTACAACTTTTTTTAATTGTTTTTTTTTTTAATATTAATAAATTTCTATATTTTCTTACCTTTTTCAGATGGCAATCCCGTTACCGGTGAAGGTTACAAATCGAATGACTTCAATCATACACCCAGTTTGAATGGTGCCAATCAAGTCATCAACAAAAATCGTATTCCACCCGGTGGCTTTTCTTCCGGTCTCTGGTAAATACATGTTTTGTCACAGTTACAAGGCTGGAGCGAGCGAGCGAGCTCTCTGTTCTAAAAATAAATGACAGCAAATTAAACAACAACTAACATACATCTAAAATGTATGGACATTTTACCAGAGAGCTACCCTATCGCCCCCCAAAAAAGACCAACAACAACAGCAAAAACTATAAAAATCAACAACTAAATGATGATATTAAACTAAAACTTTAAAACAACAACAACTAAAAGAATATGCAAAACGAAACATATTTTCAAACAAAACAAAAAAAAAACAATAATTTGCTGCATTAAAAAGAAAAAATTATTAATAATAATAAAACCCGAAAAAGAGAAATAAACAACAGAAAAAAAAGTAATAAATAATTTTAAGCTAGGACACAAACCGTCACAAAAATAACAAAAACAAAATATATAAACAGAAAAAATATGCATTAAAAAAAACTAAAATTACCATTAAAAAAAACGAAATAACTAAAACTTTTTTAAAACAAAAAAAAAGCAACATTTTCTTTAGATTCAACCAAACAGTAAAATTATGTTTTATGCAGTTTAAAGCATAAAATTAAATAATTTTTTTTAAACAGAAAAACAAAAACGATTTGTGTTTTAGAAAATGTTGCTTAAATATTAAACACAACTTAAAATCAAATAAGAATTTTGCAAAACAAACAAACAAACAAAAAAATTAAAGTGTTTTTAACAACAACTAACGAATTTCGATTATTTTCTTTGTATTATTATTGTTTTTATTAATATTAAAGAAAACTAAACATATTAACACTTAATGTAACAACAACAACTAAATTTTGCAAAATTTCTTTAAACGAAAACAATACAAATGTGGGTTATTTTTTAAAAAAATTTCATTTTTTCAAAGGCCTTTTTTTTTTTTTTTTCTTAATAACATAAAGAAACTGCTCAATTTTTAAAATTCATTATTACATTTTCTTAACACAATTTGTCCTAATTTTTTTTCCAAGGTTTTATTTTTTATTAAAAATTTTCTCAAAAAAAAAAGACACCAAAATTTTCATTATGTCATTTTAACGCGCCTCACATTTTAATCAACTTATCACAAAACATCATCATTAATAACATTAAAAATTTCATTCATTTTTTTAAATATAAATAAAAAATATATATTTTGCTTGTATTTTGTCTTTTGTAATACATTACATTTATATAATTTTTTTTAATTATCAATCTAATTATTATATTTCTTAATATATAATCATCATTTAATCTTAAAAAAAAAAAAAAACTTTTTTTACGTAAAAAAAATTTAATTTAAAAACTGAATTTTAAGTTTATGTATGTATTTCTTAAATATATAATTTTGCTCATTTCAAAATTATTTTTTTTTTATAAAAAACCAATTGTAATTCTTGCTAATTAGTAATTAAAAAAAAAAACTAAGTAATCAATGAGTTTCGAGAAAAAATTAAAAAATAAAATTAATAATAAACACTTATCATACACTTTATAAAAAAACATAAAATTCGACACTCAATTGTAAAAAAATTAAGCAGTAATTAAAAAATGTTTAATAAAAATTTTCTTATATAATAAAAAAATCCATGTAATTTTATTTCTTGTAGAGAAAAATGTTCACCCTCAAGATTTCTTAAGTATGGCAACCTTATTTCAATTGCTTTAAAAAATACTCCAGAATAACAAAGCATACTTTAGGGGTTTACAATAATCCTTTTTATATTAGCGCCCCAAAGTATGTGAAGAAATTTGTTTACAAAAAATTTTTCAAAAATAATTTCCACTTGCTGGAAATTTTGGGCACCTGGTATTTCAGGCAAAATTTTAAAAATCATTTTTCGGCAAACGTCGGCAGCGAAAAAAGCAGCAAAATAGTAGTAGAAACGAAAAAGTAGCTTTTTTAGGGAAAACAACTACAAAAATAAACGGTTTTAAATGATTTTTATTACTTTTCAAGCATTTTTATATAAAAACCTATATAAATTACATTTTTATTATAAAATAAACATAATTTAATAAATAACTACTCATAAAAAGTGTAAAATAGCTATAAAAATAAATTTACAAGGTATTTTAAAAGGAGTTTTACAAATTTTAAAAGAAATTCAGTAAAATCTACAATATTTTAAAGAAACAACAAAAACTAACAAACTTTAACACATTATTGTTAAATAAATTAATACAAAATTGACTACATTTCTTAACAAACTCCTTAACAAATTGATTCTCAAGATTCGCTAACAATAATATCATCTATAATTTGTCTCCATTTTCACTAATAACTGCCTCCTGCTGTGTTGTCTTATTTTCTGTGGCATTCTCCTTTTTTGCAGCATTTCCTTTTGGCTCTACAATTGGTGATTCCAATTCAATGGTTACAGGACCATCATTTTGTATATGCACTTGCATATAGGCGCCAAATTTTCCATCTGCAATTGAAAATTCAAATATTAAATTCAAATTTAAATGTATTTTGGGATAGATTACCTTTAATTTTTGTTTCATCATACATTTGTCCCAAACGTTTAAGAAACTTTTGATACAATTGTTGGGCCTGTTCGCCTTGCATGGCCATATGAAAATCGGGTTTATTGCCTTTTAAACGATGATATAGGGTGAATTGTGAGACGCATAATATTTCAAATTTTTCATCTTGCACACTCTTTTGCCAACGTTTACCGGCTTGATCTTCAAATAAGCGCAGTGATAAAAGTTTGCGGGATCTAAATGAAGAAAAAATATTGGAAATATTGGAATAATGTTGTACACCAATCATAGATAGATAGATAGATAGATAGATAGATAGATAGATAGATAGATAGATAGATAGATAGATAGATAGATAGATAGATAGATAGATAGATAGATAGATAGATAGATAGATAGATAGATAGATAGATAGATAGATAGATAGATAGATAGATAGATAGATAGATAGATAGATAGATAGATAGATAGATAGATAGATAGATAGATAGATAGATAGATAGATAGATAGATAGATAGATAGATAGATAGATAGATAGATAGATAGATAGATAGATAGATAGATAGATAGATAGATAGACAGATAGATTGATAGATAGATAGACAGATAGATAGATAGATATTAAGATATATTGATAGATAGATAAATATTTAGATATTAAGATATATTGATAAATAGATAAATATTTACATATATTGCTATATCGCTACTTCCTATATTGCACGGATATTTGAGGAACTACATCAGATTTGTTGAAAAATTTAGGTAGTCTCAATTTCTTTTTTTTTTTTATTTATTGAATGGATATTTAAGGAACATTAAAATCTATTTTTATTGGGCATGGTTGGCGATTGGGAAATATATGAGGATATATCGATGCCTATTTCAAATTTCCTATTTTCATTATTGAAAGTATAAGTGAAGTCAAGATTTTTATATTTATTAAATATTTGAGGTTTTCCAATAATTGTAGAAGAACTTCAGCACAGTAATACCAAATTGATTTTCATTCAGTAATCTGATTGTTTCCTATTAGCCTTAGATTAGTTCTAGCCCTTTATCTGTTTTTCAGTTTTTAATTATTCTCTATTCTTGATCCTTAACTTTCTCTAAAGCGAATCACACTAAGTTTCATTGGTCTCCGATTGGAGTTGCACCTCTTTTGTGCATAACTGTTCTTAAGCTAGCCTTTTAACTAAGCATTATCATTTTTTACAAAAAGATGGTAGTAATATGCGAACTTCATTCGGTACTTTGATGTTACGTTCCAAATTGATTTTAAATACGACATGAAAACAATTATTAAAATTTGAATATTTCGGAGATCATCGAAAGAATATAATGGCTGTGATAAATTGAGGTCTTTTTTTAATTTAACACAGTTAATATACACATTTCTATCAGTAAATATAAACTTACTAAGAACTTACAAATATTCCACATCCTTTTCGGTGTCATTATGAGTGATGCCCACTAAAACGCATAATCCACGTCCAATAGAACTTATTAGTTCTTCGCCAACTGGAAAAAGTGAGAATACCTATAGATAAAACAAACAGCTTTTTATGAAGTTATAGCAAAATATTACCTGTAACTTTAGCGGAGGTAACACGTTGAACAATAGCCTTCATTTATGTTATATTTTTAAAAATAAAATAACTTTGAATAGAAAGAAAAACTTTTCTAAAAAATACACAGGCATGAGAGCCCTGCGCCGACAAATATTAAAGGCTGCGGCGACTGACACTAAAAATGTGGGCGGCGGCTTAAAATTGACTGTAACCCGGCAAAGTTTTCAACGTTTAGTTTTAGAAAGTGGGATTTTGGAAGCCAATATAATATAACACTGAACACCGTTTATAACAACAAAACAGAGCAAGCACAAAAGAGAAATATGTAACTCTAAAGGCAGACTATTCCTATTTTAGCGGTAATTTCTTTATGATTAAAATAATTAAAATAAAGTAAGAGTGTTATATTCGGCACTCAAACATGTCGAAACAAAACTGAATAAAAATGCCATATGTTTAGAGGTGATGCCACCCAAAAGAAAAATATGTAACAGTAAATTATAGTGTGATTCAAATATTTTTTTATTTCGAAGTCGATTACTTTGATTTAAAAAACAGGGTGTATAGAAGGAGTAGGACAGTGATAATTTTATTTTATCTGTTAAAAAAAAATAAAAAATGTTTTCAAAAAAACTTTTAACATGAAATATTAAACAAATTCAATCAGAAACAATAACGCGGCATATATTTATGTTGAAATATTCAATCACTACTGAATTTTAAATTTTGTCCTATCACGTGCCGTAGTTCCTGAGTTTATCGATTACGAATAACCATTATATACATGATAGATTTGAAATATTCAATATATGTATGAAAAATCATTCTGAATTTTGTTTTTCTGAGCCCAATTTCTTTTTTAAGCCAAATTTTCAAAAAATTCCTTAACTATATTTTCGCTAATTAATTTATAAAATAAACTATGCATGATTACATAGTTTATATTAGTTGATTTTAATTATCATTTCATTATCAAGACCCCCCATAATAATTTAGCACAAATTATCAGTAAACAACAAACTACTTAAATGTCTAATCTTATCTAGACAGCAAAGAGGTTAATATGCAAAAAATGCAAATTTTTTTCTTTAACACCATAAAAAGATTAAACCATAATAATATCAGAAATAACTGTATAAACAATTGTTATTGTTTTGTTCTATATATAAGAATTTATAAATACAATGTATATAACTAATAATTATCACGCTTTCAGTCTTTAGATTAAATTTTTTGTTTTGCAATCGGCCGGAACACCACCAAATGGTGGTTCCTCACCACCACCGCCACCAATGCCACCAATAATTTTAATAATATCGCTGAGAGTATAATTTCCCAAAAATTTGTTAATGGTCTGGAATTAGTAAAATATATGTATAAATAATATTTTCTATCAACTTTCTTAAATAATAAATAATACTTACATCTTCAACATATTTTACAATGCCTCGATCCTGTGCCTCTACCCAAACATCATTTAAAAGCTCTATACCCATTTCATTGATTAAGGCATGTAAAAAGTCAGTAATTCTTTGTTCTTCCATAAGATTTTCAATATCTATAAACAAGTCTCCAATACTGAGCTAATTGTAACAAATGAAAAAAAAAAAATATGTATTTTAAATATTAATTCTCAATTTAAATTTAAGTTAAATCTGTAATTACTTCAATGTTTAAGTTGCGTATACCCATGGTAAGGCCAGTTTTTAATACCCAAGAAATTGACAATTTCACATTGTCAATATGCGCGCTTTAAACCAGAAAATAGTTATGTAAGTTAATTAAATTTAAAAATATTCAAAGAAAAACAAAATATTTTCATAATTTCTTAAAGATTTTCTTTAACTTACATAGCATTGCCATTACCATCTATGTAAACGATATACGCCAAAGAACCCTTAGCTTTATATAAAGATTTTAAAGCCGTTAGAGGTAAAACAATATTGAAATTTGATTTTCTCATCGGTATGGTGGAGATTTTTATATCGGTTACATTGAAATCAGATAAACCAGTTACACGTAAATCTGTCACCGAACCCACCAAGCTAAAATCGAATACTTTTATTTAATAGTTTTTCTTTAACAATTTATTAATCAACTTACTCCACTATATATTTGTTATCCATTTCGAAATCAGCATGTTCAATTTGATAAGGATCTAGAGCTGGCAAACCAAATAAGGGATAACACATACGATGACGTATTTCTTCTAAAAACTCCAAAATGGCTTCCTCCATTAAAGCATCTGTCTGAGATACAAAACCGGCCAAAATAAAGGCCAAACAGACCACAACAGGGTAAACTTTAAATTTCATTGTTTGAAATTTTCTTTATTTTCTACGAAATTAATTAGAGGAATGCTTAACTTGCACTGAAGTGGTTTTCATGTTTATTGTGCTTTTTGTTAATACCACAACCTAATCAATATTCAGATTCCTTGTTGTTGTTTTGAGATTATATATAGAAATCTATAAATTAAAAGCGAGTTATCGAAAGTCTATTAGCACGATTATTATGTGACTTCCTATGGTTGTTTAATCAAATTTTTCTTGTATGTTTATGTGTTGGAGCAGGGACAATAAAACGCATTAGATGGTATTTTGTCGACCATTATGTACTTTTGAACTTAATTTACTATAACAAAACTCTATTTTGCACAATAGTTTGAAAGTATTGGTAATAGAAAGAGATTAGATTATTTTTGGTACCATATAATTGAAAGAAATTTGCATATAAAATGCAGAACAGTTTCTAATTGATTAATAATAAATTTCAATGAAGGGAATTTAGAAATATTCTCAGGGGTGTTTGGAGGAAACCTAATTTATCTATCTATCTATCTATCTATCTATCTATCTATCTATCTATCTATCTATCTATCTATCTATCTATCTATCTATCTATCTATCTATCTATCTATCTATCTATATCTATATATCTATCTATCTATCTATCTATCTATCTATCTATCTATCTATCTATCTATCTATCTATCTATCTATCTATCTATCTATCTATCTATCTATCTATCTATCTATCTATCTATCTATCTATCTATCTATCTATCTATCTATCTATCTATCTATCTATCTATCTATCTATCTATCTATCTATCTATCTATCTATCTATCTATCTATCTATCTATCTATCTATCTATCTATATATCTATCTATCTATCTATCTATCTATCTATCTATCTATCTATCTATCTATCTATCTATCTATCTATCTATCTATCTATCTATCTATCTATCTATCTATCTATCTATCTATCTATCTATCTATCTATCTATCTATCTATCTATCTATCTATCTATCTATCTATCTATCTATCTATCTATCTATCTATCTATCTATCTATCTATCTATCTATCTATCTATCTATCTATCTATCTATCTATCTATCTATCTATCTATCTATCTATCTATCTATCTATCTATCTATCTATCTATCTATCTATCTATCTATCTATCTATCTATCTATCTATCTATCTATCTATCTATTATCTATCTATCTATCTATCTATCTATCTATCTATCTATCTATCTATCTATCTGTCTATCTATCTATATATCTACCTATCTATCTATCTATCTATCTATATCTATCTATCTATCTATCTATCTATCTATCTATCTATCTATCTATCTATCTATCTATATCTATCTATCTATCTATCTATCTATCTATCTATCTATCTATCTATCTATCTATCTATCTATCTATCTATCTATCTATGTATCTATCTATTCTAAATAATAACTTATTCCAGATTACCCTAACTGCATTCCAATTATGATAACAAAATTAATAAATTGTATTAAGATATACATATAAGCAATTAGACATATAAAACAATTGACTTACTTGCTGGTAGCCATACAATTCATGTTGATTTTTTTTTTTTTTTAATTTATTACCTCCATATAACCTGATTTATTTTAAACAACAAAAACAATACTTCCAGTAGTAGTATTTTTTTAAATTTTAACAATTAACGTTTATTTAATTCTCACTTGGTGGTTCTCTTAAATGTTCTGGTAATTCTTGTATTTCTGTTTTAGTTGCATTTAATGCTACACCTTCGGGTAAATTTCTTTCAATATATTCCAAAAATGTATCCAAAGTAGAACCAGTCATTTTATGGAAATTCATATAACGGAAATATGTACGAATTTCATATTGTACACGATGTTTTTTGTAAATGTGGACAGATTTCAAAAGTGTCATGCGTTCCTTGTGTGCTTTACGGGGCGACCAACTGTAGTGGATAAAAAACAATAAACGTTAAACAATTATAAAACAATGCCAGATTTCTCAATCTCTTCCTAAATTTATTCCCCTAGTAACTTACCAGTTACCAACTTCAATACCCAAATGGTCAGCAGCTGTGGTGGCGAACCAAGAATAACTTTTTAAAACAGCCGGATCAATACCACGTAATTCTATTTCCAATTTACTAAAAAGTTTATCCTGTTCATTTAATTCAGCAGTTGTGGGAGGAGGTGTTATAGCTGAGGAATCAGCTGGTGAAGTAACAGCATTGCTAGCTTCAGTAGCCAAGCAACGCAAGGCTGTTACATTGGCAGCAGTGCGTGAGCCTAACAAATTTCTAACAATCTAGAAACATTAGAAATTTAAATGAAAATATTTTAATTTAATTAATTTTAATTTAAAAGAATATTTACCGAAATCATAATTTTAATAGTTTTTGTGTTTTTTTCTTAAAAATTATAGGTTATGCAAGCGCCGACAAATATTAACGGCGGCGGCGACTGACACTAAATATGTCGGCGGCGGCTTAAAATCGACTGTAAGCCGGCTAAGTTTTCAACTACGTTTAGTTTTTAATTTTTCAACGATTTTAAATAAAAACGGAATCCGAGAGATCAGAAAGTAGGATTTTGGAAGCAAATATATTGTTTATGACAACAAAACAGAGCAAACTCAAAAGTTGCATGAGAAATTATGCAGGGATGTATAAAAAATTCTTAAAAATTAAAAACAAATCCTTTCTCCAAGTTTTACTAGGATCTGCCGATATTTAACCCTATCTTCATTATAAAACATCTTGCAGAAAATCAGTTTCTAAAAAATTTTGCATTAAGAAAATGATCAATAACGTAAAAACAAAGATATTTTATTTGTTTATTTACTAGCTATACCCAGTGTGCTGTGCTACCCTAAAAGCAATATAAATAAGAAACCTACTTAACAATTTTGATGATTCTAACTACAATAGTTTTCCAGATATACAATTTGTTACATATGGGAGATTCCACGCAAATTATTGCAATTTCGCCAATTATTCCGAACGTTAATTAAGATTTTAATTTAATCTATGAAAAATTTGAATTAATAGTTTCCAGATATACAAAATTTTGTATTTAATTCATATGGGAAGTGCCAAGCCCCCCATTGAAAGTCCGCCCGTTATTCTCTAAATGTTCTTCAGTAAAATTTGAAGATTCTAGCTCTAATAGTTTCTCAGATATACGAATTTTTCTATTTAATTCATATGGGAGCTCCAAGCCCCCCAGATGAAAGTCCGCCCTTTTTTCTCCAAAATGTTCAGATGAATATTAAAGTTGTTCGTGCAAAATTTGAAGAATTTAGTTATATTAGTTTCCCAGATAAACGAATTTTTGTATTTAATTCATATCGGAGGTTCCGCTCCCCTCATTGGTAGTCCCCCAGTTTATTACCCAAAATGTTTACATGGATGTTAAAGTTCTTCCAGAACAACATCATTTAAAGGGATCACAAAGAGATTGAAAAATATTCCAAAAGTTTCACTTTGAAAACATTATTAGAATGTATGAAAACTCGCAACTCTAAAGGAAGACTATTCCTATTTTAGTGGACGTAAGCGAGATAAATTTTCGTTCAATTAGGATACGATATGTTTATATATTCAATATTTTAGAAAATTCAAAAAGTACCAGTTAAAGAACGAAAAATTACCAGAAATACTCCAGTTTAAATTTTTATTCACTCAAGTCCCTGATTGCTTAGTTTTATGTTTTTAGGTTCATTATAAAAGAAAATCCAAATAGTACAAGTTGAAGAACGAAAAAGTACCAAAAAGTCCCGTTTTATATGTTCTCACTTACTCCATGTTCAATATTATAGAAAATTCAAAAAATACCTTTTGAAGAACGAAAAAGTACCAAAAAGTTCCCTTTTATATGTTATTACTTAATCCGGGCTGTACATTCCTAAATTCATGTTTCTAGGTTCAATATTATAAAAAATTCAAAAAGTACCAGTCGAAGAACGAAAAATAAAAAACTCAAAAAGTACCTTTTGAAGAACGAAAAAGTACCAAAAAGTTCACTTTTATAGATTCTCAAGTGCTTAATTACATGTTTCTAAGTTCTAAGTCAAAAAAGTACCAGTTGCAACATCGTATTGAAGAACGAAAAAGTACCAAAAAGTCCCGTTTTATATGTTCTCACTTACTCCATGTTCAATATTATAGAAAATTCAAAAAATACCTTTTGAAGAACGAAAAAGTACCAAAAAGTTTCCTTTTATATGTTATTACTTAATCCGGGCTGTACATTCCTAAATTCATGTTTCTAGGTTCAATATTATAAAAAATTCAAAAAGTACCAGTCGAAGAACGAAAAATAAAAAACTCAAAAAGTACCTTTTGAAGAACGAAAAAGTACCAAAAAGTCCACTTTTATAGATTCTCAAGTGCTTAATTACATGTTTCTAAGTTCTAAGTCAAAAAAGTACCAGTTGCAACATCGTATTGGGAGCCCGTTATTATGTATTCATATGTATAAGTTAATAAACCAAAAACAATGTTTTATAAAAAAGTACCAAAAATAGGTACAATTTTCACCCCTTAAACGTCCGAGTATCCAAAAAGTACTAAATTTATATTTTTATTTGTTCGTCAAGTTATGAAGGATTCAAAAATATTTTTTGAATGTTCTCTGGTTTAAAAGATACATGGGGTGCAAAAGAAGTACCAAATTACAGTTTCTACCCGTTAATTCCCCAAAGGGGCCGAATTTGAAAAAAGTACCAGACACCTGCCCGCTTATTTTTTAAATGAACGACGATAAGCTTTAAACTGTTTTTGTATCTTTTATAGTTTAGGAGATATGAGGTTACCGAATTTACCCGTTTTTACCATTTTTAACCCCCTAATCATTCGAATTTCCAAAAATCCCGTCTAAGTGGATCTATTTGGTGGAAGACCAACCTCTTGTCTAAATTTCAGCTCTTTAGCTAAAACCGTTTAGGCTCTACGATGATGAATCAGTTAGAATTTTATATATGTATTATGTATATAGATTTCGTGCATTGAATTATACTGTAAAAACATTGTAATGTTCGACTTGAATTCAAGTTTCGTTTTCACTGGAGAATGCTATTGAATTAAAGTGTATTTCAACACTTGAAATTTGAATGTTTGACTGGAATTAAACTTGTTTTAAACTTTAATTCTAGCAAGAATGCTTATTTGGTATAGTGTGACAACTATAATAAGGGACCTAAAGTCGACATAAAGCCCACAATGGTTAGTACCAATATTTGGCCAAACAACATCTACATACCTAGCCAGGTTATATCCTCTAGGTCCGTGAAGACATTCTCTATAAAGCTATAAATTTGTATTAAAGGCGGCTTAACAATTGTTTCTTGTAAATATTCGCCCACCATAGTGTTTGGAGACAACAGGAGCTTCACTGAAAGACACACCAGACAGACATCGCGCTCTAATATGGGTGTATGGTAGTGATTCTGCTGAGATCAATGGTATAATAATAAGTATGTATCCCAAGGATACCCCCTGAATACGGCAATCAGCTTCCGTCCATTGCCTCTAGGTGATAATATACCATGTCACCACTAGCCGACCGACCACCACCCGCCTAGGTGACTAGGGAGGTATATATGTGGGCATTCTTCCAGGAGACCATCATGATGCCTCCTCTTTCTTGAAAAGAAAGACGTTCTTTATAGACAAATAAATAATTAATTAACACCATTACTTACATTTTTTTATCTTCTAGATCTCACAAATATGCCAAATATAGATTTCGATAAACACTTTTGGGTATTAAACGAAAACAAACCCCGCCTTAAAAAAATTTCATCATAATTATTAACAATTTAACTAAATTCAACCCAACACTTGCTGTTTCTTTGTACAATGACCCTCGGTATAGTAGTATAGCATACAATCTTATTACTTTCAATTTTTAGTAAACAATTATTTTTTTATTTAAAGAATATCATTTCTGTCATTTTAGATTTTCGCACACACACAACAACAGATTTTTTGTGGCAAATAAAAAATGCAGAAAACAGCTTGGCGCGAAAAATTCTAGCAGAATTTCTTTTCGCAGTCGGCAGAATTGACATCAACTGCACTTCCCATTTGAAATACACATGTTCGATACCCTAGCCCTTTACGGTATGACATACCAGCAATGTAAAAAGGTGTAGCTCCGTTGACGTCAACGAAGCTGGTTTGAAGTCAAAGCAGCGACTCGAATTAGGCGTGAAAACACGAAAATATCTGAGGCGAAGCATGTACAACGAACGTTGAGCAAAGTTCTACACCGGCCAAATTTCAATGAGCGGCTTATTATTAGATAAAAGAAAACTTGCTTAAATGAAAACAAATTAATTTTATATTGTAAAATGCCATAAATTTAGCGAAAGTTTTCTGTAAATTGTACAAAATATGGCGAAATTTTCAAGCCGTATTAAGCTGAAAGATTTTCGGCGGCGACGGCTTTGACATTTTGTTCGGCGGCTAGGCTTAGTCGGCTTAAGCCGAATCGGCGCAAGTCTCTGTATGCAAGTACGAAAGTCTTGACAGCAAAACAAAAACAGCTGTGCAGAAAACACAAACAGGATGAGGCAAATATGAATTATTTTTAAATTAGTAACAGGATGCTCTTTATAAAATCCCATTAGTAATATTATTTAATTTATAAAAAATACAACATTTAAATTTAGAAGTGTTTTTTTTTTAATGTAAATTTTACTTTTAGTTTCTTTAAAATTATTATTTTAATTGTCGAGATAATTTACATAGTTATTTTTCTCTCAGTGTAGCTATTGTTGACATTTCAACCACACGTGCATTTAAAATAACCACCCATTTGTTTACAATAAATTTTACAAGTTTTATTTAATTTTTAGTAATTCATTTTTTAAATCTCTAGAAAAATGGATCAAGAAGGTAAATATTTATTTAGATAACAAAGTTTTATATATTTACTAATTTTTATATGTTACAGATTTACCTCCTTTGGAAAGAGATAGCGAGGTGTGTGTCAATGGAAATTGTGAAAATGATTCCGATTTTACCGACAATGATTCCGATGAAGAACCTATGGAACAGGGTGAATCCACTACTTGTCTATTCTGTTCACAAGTTTTGCCTTCAGTGGAATTAGCTTTAGAACATGTTAAAATGGTTCATAAAGTAAATTTTTCCCAATTAAAGGCTCAATTTCAAATGGATCAGTATTCATTTATAAAGTTAATCAATTGTATACGTCTGGACGGTATAAGTGAGGAGAAGTTACAAAATGTAACAGCAGCATTTTGGAATGATGAGAAATATTTGAAACCCAAAGAATATGAATCTTGGTTAAGTTATGGTGAGTAAAACAGAAACGAATTTTTATACTAAACTATCATTTACCTAAGGGCAAGACATTTCCCAATATTTCCTTTGTAAATACGTGTAACTAAAAAATAATTTTTTAACTGTTCTAGATTATGATGACTTGAAAACAGAGACAACCTCAACTGGAACCACCACAAACGAAGCGGATTTAAAGGCTTTGGTATTGAAGTTGCAAGAACAAGTCAAATTCCAACAAGAGCAACTGGAGCAGGCCTCACAGGACATGGAAACTATGCGTAAAGGTTTTCAACGTTTAATGGAAAAGGATGATAAGAAAGTAGAGACAAAAAACAAAAATATCACATGTGTCTCCTCAGTATCACTTAAAGCTGATGAGGGATATTTTGATAGTTATGCTCATTTTGGCATACATCATGAAATGCTGTCGGTGTGTGCAAAAAACCTTAACAAAAATTTCAGTTTTTATTGTTCACTTTTTTTTCTAGGACGTTGTTAGAACCACTTCCTATAGGGATGCTTTATTAAAGAACAAAGACTTTGTTAAGGGAAAATCTGTTTTAGATGTGGGTTGCGGCACTTCTGTACTCTCCATATTTGCCTCACAGGCGGGAGCAGCCAAAGTGGTGGGCATTGATAATTCAGATATTATCTATAATGCCATGGATATAGTCAAGTAAGCTTAACTTTAAGAAAAAATTTTAAGCGTTTAAACATTTTTCAATTTTTTTTATAGAAAAAACAATGTGGAAAACATTACATTGGTAAAGGGCCGTTTAGAAGACACTGAATTGCCGGAGCAAAAATTCGATATTATTATATCCGAATGGATGGGTTATTTCCTACTATTCGAGGGTATGCTAGATAGTGTTATCTATGCTCGAGATAATCATTTAAAGGAGAATGGTATTCTTTTACCAAATCGTTGTACCATGAGCATTGTGGGCTATGGCAACGAGTCACTCTTTAAGAATCATGTAACATTCTGGAATGATGTTTATGGCCTTAACATGTCCAATATGCGTAAAGAAGTTATGCACGAACCTTTAATAGACATCGTGGATGCTCAACATATACTCACCGATGCTAATTGTATTGCTGATTTAGATTTAATGAAAGTTGACTTGAACTATTCCAATTTTAAGTATAATTTCGAATTGACTTGCTGTAAGGATGGTGAATTATCCTCATTTGTGGGATATTTCGATACCTATTTCGAATTGCCTGAGCCGGTTATGTTTGGCACATCACCCAATGATAAGCCAACACATTGGAAGCAAGTTGTATTTTTCATTGAAGAACCTCAGGCTGTTAAGAAGGGAGATGTTGTTCGAGGAGTTTTGCACTGTAAAAGAAGTCATAAAAGTGCCAGATCATTGGATATTATTCTAGAAGCATTTAATAAGAAATATACTTATTATTTGGATTAGAGAAAAGTGTTTAGTGAAAAGGAAGTTGTAAATTTGTATAAGAAATAAACGTATTAAGAACAATCTTTTATAAAAATTTCATTAAAAGAATTTTGAAAAAATATTCAGGATTTTTCACTACACCATTCTAGATGAAACTTATACAAATATTAGGAGGGTTGGTACGATTTTCTAATAAACTTGATTTATTAAACACAAACCACACATCTAGAATATTGAAAATAATTTATTTATTTAAAAAAATGCTGCTGCATGTAATTTTTTTTTTTTTTTTTTTTTTGTTTGAATTTCTTGAAACATACAAATAATAAAAATACTCTCATCGAATCGAGTTCTAACTTATATTTAAACATTTAAAAAGATGCTTTAGCATATAATTTTCAAAATTATGAGCTGTTTTTCTCCTTTGCAATACACCTCCTATTTCGAGCTTTATTAAACTGTACCACCTTCCAGTTCAGAAGCTGGTATCTCGGGTTCCTCATCATTGTAAACATTCTCTGCCATTTGCCAAACTTGCATAATATTATCTTCCGATACGGAGCATATTATCCAGGGTTCATTGGGATTCCAAGAGAAATCTGATATTTTGGCCGTGTGACCGCCATGAATGAAGAGCAATTCCGGTGGACCATCTTCTGCATCTTCGGCACTTTGCTCCTCACCGATTTTCGACAAATCCCAGACATGCAAACGGCGATCGGTGCCCGATGAAGCCAAAATAGTTTCATTATGGGGAGACCATTGTACTTGGAAAATTTCATCTTTATGCGATTCAAAGGAATGTAATTTCAATTTAAGATTACGCAAATCCCACAGAGCCACCGTTTTATCAGCCGAACCGGTGGCTAAAATAAATTCTGAATAGGGATTGAAACTAAGACAATTTACTTCGGCCGTATGGGCATCTACTGTGTGCGAAGGTTTGGAAGTGTTATTATTACGTGTGTCCCAAATCATAAGTTTTTGGTCATCGGCCACAGAGCCAAACAACGATTCATGCAACAAATGCCAGGCTACATCCTCAACGACTGCGGTATGGCCAGTAAAAATATTCTTAGCATCGATAACACGATGCTCCTTGGGTGTAGCATTTATGTCCCACAAACATATGGTATGATCGTCAGAAGCTGACAGCAAATAGCCATTTAAATTTGGATTCCACGACAAGCCATAGCCTTCCTTTTGATGGCCACGCAATCTTAAATCCGGTTGACATTCTCCCGAAGGCTCGGGCTTGCTGGGATGTTTGGTATAATCAAAGACTAAAACATCACTAGAGGGTGTTTTTGTAGCAATAACACAAGCATTTTGCGGCATGTAGCGAGCCCTATTTACCTCACCCTCATGGTTGATTTTTATTTCAATTTCAATCTTACCACATACGGAACCAAAACCACCAAATTCTCCTTTCTCATTGTCATAATGAGAGCCATCGAATTGGGCATCCTCACTGGGCAGCTGGACACTAGCAATTAGCAAGTGATTTTGTTCATCGGAGGTGTGAGTGCCCAAAATCAAACGATGTACCGAATAGTCTTTACCCTCCTGTTTGGTAACATCCGGCAGCCATTGGGCCGTTAAAGAAGGCCACTCCAAAGCATGAGTCATAACCAAATCGTATAAAAATGGAGTATTTTTCTTCCAGATTTTATACTCCTCATTGATAACGCGTTCTTCTACGGCATCATCAAATGATTCCGCTATTGCAACAAAAACGAACACGAATTATAATTTACTTCTGCTGATATTTAAAATATTGCTGAAACACTTACCATTATCACTGCGATCGACCATGTTGGTGTTTACTTTCTATATGAAAATTATTGTTTAATTTTTTTTTAGCTTAACACTCGACCAAAAGGCAAGCAACAGTCCCGCCAAAACACAATCTTTCCGTAGTTTGTTTTGTGTTTGTTGAAATGTGTATTTTTTGCAGCAGCGTCGCAGTCTCAAATGAGAGTATTTAATAAAATGCTTTTCTAACTATAAAAAGAAAAAAATTGTTTTTAATTTTATAATTTTTTAGTTGCAAGTTTATATAGGAATAATTATCTACACTTTTTGTTAAGTTTAAGCGAGTATTTTTAAAGATATGAATAAAATTTACCGGAAAATGTGCAAATAATTTGCCAAGACAAAAAATTATAATTTAGTAAATGCTGAAAGCAGTGTTGCCAACTCGTCCAAGAACCGTAAGTGGCTCAAAAAAATTCCAAAAACGTGTGTAAAAAAGCGCCATTTAAAATTGAATAATTTTACAAATACTATAAAATGTAAAACTTAATAAAACATTTTTAGGGCCAATATCTCAAACTCCGGTTATCGTTTAATAGGTAGATATACTGCCGGTTAAAATAATTTAAGTAATTAAAAATTAATAAATAAATTTATAAATTTACAAACACAATTTGGCAACTGTTTGATGTCAAATACAAAGCATTTTTTGCAGCAAACAACGTCGACCGCCCGTGTAAATTAAACAACTTGGCAGCCCTGCGAAGGCTACCAGATGAATTCAATAAAAGGTAATGAATACAAGTACTGTTGTTAAAATACTGATTATTTATGTAGTCGGTATTACAAATGTCAACAAAAGTAGTGTTGACATCATTTTTTTTAAAGAAATTTTTGCAAATTGTTTTTGTTTAATAAAGTATTGTAATTGTGTTGTAAATTGCATACCATGGAGGCTTTGGATATTTTGGAAAAACGCATAGATACGTTGTCCCGTATCATTGGCAATGTTCCCGAACAAAATGCCACTTCTGCAAATGCTAATGAGGGTGATTCAACAAAAGTGGCTGGTGAGAATATTGTTGACTCTTTAGTCTCGGCCAATAATATTTTAAATGAAGCCATTTCGGGGCGTGAACAAATCAAAAAGATCGTCAACAGATCCGATGAATTGGAAAAGTACTTAGATCCTCATTTCCTAGAAGAAAACCAACAAGTCCGAGCTAAAGAAGTCTATCTTAATGCAGTGGGTCATGAACTGCATACACAATTTCAACAATTGGATAAGATTAAAGAACTGGAACCCACATTAGGTGCTGAATATTTTCGTAATATTCCAGGTGAATGTGTGGATAAATTAAAGCAAATTAGCCAGGATAATGGAGAATTTGCCCAACAAGCTGAACTGATTGAAGAAAGTCTGATATTGGCCATGAAACGTTATGGTGAGATACAATCGGGTCTCTTGGAGTCGCTCAACACTATGAACAAACGTTTGGAGGCGGTAGAGGAAAAGATGCAATTAAAGAAAAAGGAGGATATGGAAAAGGACTTGGATGTTGAGGAAACAAAATAGTAATATTGATTTAAAAATTAAGTATTAAAATTCCCTTTATATTTATAGAAATAACACAAATATAAACACAAAACCAATAAATATTGTTTTAAAACTGAATAAATAATTCATTACTGGTTTGTTGTAATACATATTAGAATTGCAGTTTTTTGAAACACAATTAAATCTGTGGCGATATATATAATACCACCACAAAGCTTTTATAAAAATCCAAAATATTGAGTCCATTTCACCTACAACCAACAAATCTGATTAGTACTAAAACGAGTCTATTTATTTTATTTTTAAAGTTTATCTTTAGCGTTTATTATCATTTAACTGATAACGTTATGACAATTTGAACTACATTTTAAAAAATACATCAATGGCTAGTAAATTAATTAAATGCCTTTGGTATAGTAGGCCACCAAAGTAGTAATAACTTTTCTCTATAAGCTTGAACTAGGAAAACTAATTATACCATGTTAAACCCTTACTCAGATCGGGAAGAAAGTTAAAAATCTTATTCAAATAATAGATAACAAACAAAATGGCACCCACAATGCCCAACAGACTTAAACGATTGAGCCAATGTTGTTTGCTTTCCTTCATTAAATCGCAAATATGCTGGGCAGCAGCTTCCGTATCCTCAACAGAACCATTATTATCTATAACAAAGTGAGATTGTTCACATTTCTTATCCAACGGCATTTGCGATTCAATGCGTTTGCGAGCATCTTCTGGCGACAGCTCATTACGAGCGATCAAACGTTTTAATTGCAAATCCGGCTCACTAGAAGCAATATAAATTACATTTTTATGTATTTTCAAGAGAGTTCATTAAGTCATACCATGTTACACATATAATTTTGTGTATAAAGTCCATTAAAAGGCCTGTTTCGAAAAGTAAAGGCAAATCCAAAACAATCCAAGCTCTGCCCGACATAAAATTTTTGAAAACCTCCTTGAAGATGGTGCGGTGTATAACAGGATGTGTTATTTTATTTAATTTGCCTCTCAGCTCCTTATCGGCAAATATGGCCTTACCCAATGCATCTCGGTTAATTTCTCTCGTTGGCAGCAGAATTTCATCGCCAAAGGTTTCCTTGATTTTTTGCCAGCAAGGTTTACCAGGTTCCACAACTTTATGTAATATTAAAATCAGTTAGAAATTAGGTCATACTCTTTCTTAATTAACATTAATTAATATTTAACTACTATGTACTTACTTTGACGAGCAATTTTATCGGCATCTATCACTGGTATGCCATTTCTTTCGAAAACTTTACTAACTGTACTTTTGCCTGTGGCAATGCCTCCAGTTATAGCCACAATAAACATTTTATTAGTAATATTTTAAATAAACTTTTAACTTAAAGCAAATATTATTACTTCCAACAACCCCTAATTAAACAGAAATTGCATCTAGGCATATTCAACTTAGATGGTCTAAGCTAAACATCTGATTGTGTCAAATGTCATTAAAAATACTCTGCTATCTGTTACTGTCAAAATGTACATAAACAGAAATTCTTCCTTAAGTGCCACCTTGTATAGATTCGCTTTGTACTGCAGCAAATCTAAACAGAGTTACCACATTTAAACTTTTTATTTATTTTGTTTTTTATTTCAAACATAATTTTGCGAATGCAAAATACTTCATAATTCCAAGTAGTTGAGCGAAACCACAGGGTATACAGAGGTGTCACAAGCAAAAAACTATTTCTCTTTCGCACAAAACGATGTGCCGAAACTGTTAAAAATTGAAAAAATAAAGAAAATGTTTATTTTATTGAACAAATTCTTAAAAATTGTAAATTTCGAAAATATTCTATAGAAAAGTTAAGAAAATATTTAAAACAAAATTTCCCATAATATTATTTATAAGAAATTTACAATATTTTTAATTAAAGAAATGCAATTTCAAGAAGTTTTTTCAATAAAAAACAGTTTATTTATTTACAACTCCCCACCATGTTAATCACTGTAAATGATTAACGTACTTCAAAAATATGGCAGCACTTGACATAACAAGTGAAGTTGGCTGCAGTTGCACAATTTTTTTATTCAGCAAAGCATTCGTGTTTTTTCGTGATCATACTCCATTTTTATTTCTAATTTCGTGCGCGGCGCTTGCAGTTAAAGAAACCAATTTTTCAGTGATAAATATAATATAAAAAAGAATCGCCGCTAATTAATATAAAAATTATATTAAAATACTCTTTAATAGTTTGAAACAGAAAACATAATAACACTTAACAAAATGGTGGATAAAATTGAAATGAGTTTGGATGATATCATTAAGTCTAACCGTAGCCAGAATAGAAAACCTCAAGGAGGAAATCGTGGTGGCGGCGGCAATAGACGTGGTGGTGGTGCAGCTGGCAATAAAGGACCACAACGTCAGGGAGGCCGTAGAGTTCAAACATCACCACGTAAACCCGGCGGTGGCGTCTTAAAAGGCCGTGGTGCTGGAGGCATACAAAAAGCCAAATTTTCAAGGGTAATAAATTAGCAAACATGATGAAATTCTAGAAAATGTATCGAGTTGGTCACTTACAACTGGCTTAATAAAGCTAAATATATGATAAGCGTATGGAAACAAGTCTCCGGCTGCAGAAATATACCTCAAAACTAATTGATAAAATGCAAAAATATTGAGTTTCAAAAACAAAGCAAAAGCATGGTTTTTTATAAAATAAAACGAAGTATAAAAGTATATACTTCTTGACAAAAAACAAAAAAAGCAAAAAAATAAAATGGTCTCTTTAACGGTGTATATGCAAACGCAAAAACCAAAATGAAAACAAGTGAGAAAGTGAAAGAAAATGTCAAGGCAGAAACAAAAAATAGACTTAATAACAAAAACAAAAGACAAACAGTAAATGCTGTATGATGTGGCAACCCTACTACTAACTACACTGTTTACATTTTCTTCGTTGAAACATTAAACAAATGCAAACTTTTTCTTTCTTGTTTTAAACAATTATAAAACTCCGTTTAAACGACAACAGGATCTCCATAATAATTTTTATAAATGTTTTAGTGAATTTTTTTTTTAATTTACATACATAATAACATACATATTTATATTCTTCAATTTATTACATATATTACAAATTTCTTTTCGCAAATCAAATCCCACTTAAATCATTCCGTTGAGTTTTTAGCTACGTTTTGTACTACTACTACTTCTTCCATTCAAAAATATCAAAACACTTAATCAAACTTCCTCCCGATGGTAGCTGCAACCGGCGACCCAGTTTTTATCACCGACTACTACAAAATTTAGATTTGAACACAAAAGACTCAAAAATTCTTTATCAAAAACAAAAACGAACTTCTGTTGCAACTTGTACCTACTCCTACTTCTCTAGGGTGATGTGAACAGCGCTTGGAAACATGACATGTACGATGGACCTAAACGGGGTATATTGAAAACAACGGATTCAGCCAAACTATTAGTGTCAAATTTGGATTATGGCGTATCGGACTCGGATATCCGGGAACTATTCACAGAATTTGGACCGCTGAAGAAGGCGGCCGTACATTATGATCGTTCGGGCAGATCCTTAGGTAAGTTTTTTGTAGATTTTAAGTTAAACGTATGTTACAACAACACAAACTTTTCTATTACTTTACATATTAGGTACTGCCGATGTTGTGTTTGAAAGAAGATCAGATGCTTTGAAGGCCATTAAACAATACAATGGTGTACCTTTGGATGGCAGACCCATGAATATACAATTCTTAACTGATGCCGCTAGTATAACTAGACCTGTGCGCACAGCCGGCCCCAGTCCGCAAAAACGTAGACCACAAGTGGGTGGTGGCGCAGCTGGTGGTAACCGAAGAGGTGGAGGTAAATTTTAAACAAACCTGGTAACTTTCCACCATATAAAACTCTCGTTTTTCTTATTAATTT